TGTTAACATCTTCGCCCTCATAATCACTTGGTAGAATATCTTTGCCCTCATAATCACTTGGTAGAATATACCAGTAGACACACCCTATACAATTTTCGGTTTGGTTTAGTAAATTTTAGCTTGTACAGAAACAGACTGCAATCTAATAAACACAATGTTGTTGTTAACTTTATGCTTGATTTAGTTAAGTATTTTGCATTTATTTATTCACTTAGTTTATCAGTATGCACTCAATATGTACAAGGCATGAAACTATTGGCAAAAGAACTACAAAGATAAAAAGGGCACTACCTTATGTTCAAAAGACTCAGGTGAGGAAAATTGAAAATAAAAGGCATTTATACTATTGTTCATAAGTACTATAAATATATCTTAGGGAACATAGATGATCCATAATTTTAGCAAAGATTTCCAAAGCAAGAATTATTGGTTGTTTTCTTGAAAGTTGATTTTGAGAGATAGAGTGAGAAAGATCAGTTGCCTCTTGTACTAGCTCAATCGGGGATTGAACCCGTAACATCAATGGTATCACACTCCAACAAACTGAGCCACCTAATGAGGGCCAAAGCACTAATTAGAGGATGCACAGAAATTTGTCATATGAAATTAGGTGGGGACAGAGATTAAGCAGGTAATGAAGGCATTTCAGGAGTTGGAAAAAAACAGAAGCAAAGCAGAGAGACATTACAGAGTCTTGTCTTGTGTTCAAGAGACAAAGCAAATTTGGAGTAACTGGAAATTAAATGTGCTATATGAGTGATAAGAGAGTAGAACTGAGCACTGAACAACAGCTACATGGTGGAACATTGTTCATGCTCTGAATAACTCATACTTTTAAACTGTAATAATTGAGAAGCCAAGAAAAAATGTGAAGAATGGGAATTATGTAGAAAGCTCTCTCCATGATGGTAGTAACTTGGGTATATATGCAAATATGTGGAGCATATATTTTTAAGGGAACAAAATTATAAAAGATTGTTAGGAGATTCTTACAGTTCCAATGATAAATGAAACTGGCCTCATCTAGGAAGCAACCTAAGTCTTATCCCCCTAGGTGAGAAAAGATTCACACCCCCGGAAATATGTAGGAGATAAAATTTGCACGTCTTAACTATGGTTGAATATAAGCTATAGGAAGAAAAATGAAAAAATCAAACTGTTTTCAAAGTTTTGAACATAAATGTTTGAGTAGTTGGTGATGCATCAGCAGGAATAGAGAATAAGAAAGACTACAAAAGTTAAAAGTATAAAATCATTCAATTACTGGCATGTTGAAATCTGTGATATATCCAGAGAGTAGTCTAGTGAGCAATTAGGTATGCACAATAAAAATTCAAAGAGATGATGTAAATTTGGGATTTATCTGCATACTGATGATCATTAAAACTATATACATGAAAAATTGGATGAAACAAAAAATAATAATATGAAACAGGTTAACTACATCTAGCTATACCATCTTTTATTTTTAGCCAATGCACATGTCTATCAACATCCTAGCTCTCTCCCCTCATTTACTGACAAAGTTGGCACATGGCCTATTTCCTTCCTCTCCGGTCCAAGCTGACATCATTACAGATGGTTCATCTAATCCTCTGGGTTCCCAATTTCTTGATCAGCTTTGAAACTACCAACTCTTACCTTTAAGAATCCACATCCACACACCTAGAACTTCTCCTCTATTGTCCTATTTCAAAAATTTTAGTCTCAGTTTGTATCATTCTATAAATACAAACTTCAAACTCTCATACTAATGTTTCTACTATTGTTCTTTAGCCCCATCAAGAACTCTGTGCTCTCTCAATCCTATTCTATTGCTTTCCAGTCTCAGTCTTTACTACATTCTCATTATTGGTCTTCCTATTTTATTTTCATTGCTCCATGTACCCCAGAATCTACCATTATCTCACCAATAATCTAAAGCCATTTTCCATCCTAGGCACATTTCTCATGTGCCTAACTATCCAAAGCTGAACCTAATTTGTTTTTATTTTTAATTTATTTAGCAACCACTTATGTTTCATGCATATAAGCTATTTTATCTAATAATGTCATGGTTTTTAACCATTTTTATTCTCATAATAGAGCCATGAAGTGGGAACAACCAGGATGTTCCTTCGAAAAGGAACTCACACCATCATAGAGGTTTGTAGTTCCTATCAGACCACAAAATTCTTCTGTTTTGTTCACTCTTTTCTTTCCTTTAGGAATAATTTCTATGAAGAAATCACCATCATGCTGTGAGACCAAACTGTCCCATGAAGAGAGAAAATAAAAGAAAACTGAAGCTACCAGTCCTCAACCAGCACCAACTACCAGACATGAGTTCAGCTTCCAGACTTTGAGTGGTCTAACGGAGATCTCAGACATCGCTGAATAAAGACAATTCGTCCTCATTATATCTTGTCTAAATTCTGTCCCACACAAACAGAATGTTTTGGAGGAATTTCTTATGCAGTTGTAGTCACTTGAACACTACCAAAAGCAAGCTAAATCCAATGACCACCTTTCTACTTGATTATTGGAAATGTTTAACACAGAGGACCAAACTTCCATCTTTAAATGCTGGTTTTATTTAGTGTGTATTCCACTGCATGCTATATATACATGGTACTTGTATCTTTCCATCACTTCTTATCAGATACTATTGAAAGCTCCTCTACCTATTCTTTTCCTTAGTTCTTAGGGTACTCTCTTAGGCTCTTTCTGAGCCAGTGGTCCTCAATTAGGAATATGCAGTTTAGAACAAATGCACTGTGTGATCTTACTTCTATAGTTTCAATTATCTCCTATACGCTAATATATTCTAAGTAAATATTTAGCCCAAATGTCTTTCATGTGCCTCTGAAAATATATCAGACCACTAACAAACAATATAAATATCTCCATGGATGTTTCACAGATACCTCTACGTGCACCAAAATGAATGTACCATCTTCCCCATCACACTTGTTCTTTCTGTTTTTTATTTTATCATTAAAATACATTAACATCTAATACGCCTAATTTCACAATCCAGACCCTAAGATAAAACTACTTCATTTCCCTTCTTCAGTATCAATCACAATACCATTATACAACTAATCAAGTTCTATTGATTCCAATTCATAAAATACCCTCTTCTTGATTCCCAGTGCCTTACCTTTGTGGAAGCACATAAACTCTTCACTTAGTTATGATGATACTCTTAAAATTTGATTCACTTTCCACATTGCCCCTTTCAACCTCTTATAATAAAAATGTTTCTATGGTACAAATTTGAACATGTTTTTCCTTAACACCTTTAAATAGAAGATTATTTCGCTAAAAATCAAGTTCAAAGTCTTTTAAAAAAATATATTTTATTGATTTTTGTACAGAGAGAAAAGGAGAGAGATAGTTAGAAACATCGATGAAAGAGAGTCATCAATTAGCTGCCTCTTGCACACCCTCTACTGGGGATCTGCCCGCAACCAAGGTACATGCCCTTGACCGGAATCGAACCCGGGACTTTTCAGTCCCCAAGCCAACGCTCTATCCATTGAGCCAAACCAGTCTCGGCTCAAAGTCTTGATAATAATAAATATATTTTCAACCACATCTTTATCAACATTATGCTGCACAATTTACCCTACTTTCTCTCTTACTTCATTATATTAAATTTTATCTTACCCATTTATGTCTCCTTTTCCCCATCCTCTTTTTCAACAAGCTCTTTAAATAGTTCATTAGTGTGTCTGTATATAGTATGTAGTTTAATTCAAAAGCCTTCTTTGCTACATAAGATATACTGAGTCTTCCTATACCTTTGTTCTCATAGCAGATTGTACTTATATCTATCACAGTATTTTTTATCCTACTTATAATTGTTTGTTTACATATTTGTGTCACACTAGATTTATAACTCAATGATAGCAAAAACTCTTTTATTACTCAGTGTTTAGCAAAGTTCTAGCTTAAATAAATATCATGGATTAATTATCTACTGTGTTAATGATTAACGAATTGACTAAAAATGTCTGTGACAAATATAACTTAAGTCAGAGCCCTTGGGGGGAGGCAAAGGGAGAAGTGCACTTACAAAGATTTTCAAAATAGATTAGAAGTGAGAAAGTAGAGGTGAAGAGTCTAGACAGAACTTGTGATTAATTAAATGAGAATAGAAAGAATAAAATGTGGTGGAAGATCCAATAGCAAATACAAATAAAAAGTAAGAAGCTATTGAGAGTTGTAAACATTAAGGCAAAAGCATCATGTATCTTCACTGTGATACATATTTCTCCTCTTCAATACATGTGACAAGTTTGCAAGAAACTACTAATTGCCTAAGTGTCTTATTATTTCATTCTCCATGGTGGTAGTCTTAACTAAAAAGTTCAATAAATACAACTCTATTCTAAAATGAACAGAGACAAGGAATTTATGAATTTAAAGAGCAGGGCAGTTGGATATTGAATATAAAACAATGCCTGTTTTTTAGACTATTTTGAAATTAATTGTAAGTTAAACTATTGTTAAATATATATTAAAGACACAATATAAAAGTTATTATTAGAATCTTAATCAAAGTTTTTTCACTGTCAATGAATATTTTTCAATACAGGAAATGATGTCTCTGAACAAAGAACATGGCCCAGCCTCTCTTACAGATGTAAATAATTAAAGAGTATGTACTCCAGTAAGTAGTTTCATTCCAATCAGGCTATTTCTCAGAATGTCAGAGTTTAGGGAGGATTCTGAGTTTCCTGTGAACCTTACCTCTGACATTAAATTTTTTTGGCTTTGTTGAGGATATTGAACTAAACATCAAAAGATAATGAACTAGATTTTTTGTTGAAAGCCTGCTGTGTTTGAGATTCACTAGGAAAAAAGTAGGAAATGCTCTGTTCGAAGCATTACTGTGAAGACCCTTTGAACACTTAGCAATGTCAGATACAATACATGACATCTTTACTGAAATCACAGCAATTGAAGCATCACATTTCTTTTTCATATAAAAATGTATTTTTTTTTCTCCTTACCTTGCTGTACAAAGGATCCATACACAAACCACATGGAGTTGTAGAGAGTAGTAGAACTCATTGATCCCATTTGTAATCGAGGGGGGTTAAGCCAATTCAGAAGGTAGACCAGCAGACCCACAAGAAGGACTGTGCCAGCAATGCAAGCCCATAGAGAGAGATCAAATGGTGCAAGACAGGCAAACATATCCACTGTCTTTTCAGCTCTTCGAAGTAGTACTCCCACTGAGTAGTCCATGTAACGTGTTGTAAAATCCACCACATTCTCTCGATCTGGGGTGATTGTTAAAGCAGAAATCCCTATGTCCGCTCTCTAAGAAATTGAAAGAGAAAAGAATTTATTAAGAGTGTGAAAAACAATTTGATTTATGACACTTGGGCTTGCCTTGAGGAAAAAAAGGTAGATGCTTCAGGCAACATCTTAATTCTTTTTATATGAACTGAAAAACAATGCAGAGACTTCTTAGAGGAGAGTTGTATGTGAATTTTGAATTTCTTATTGCAAACTATGCCCTACCAGCGTCAGACAAATTACCTTGTTCATATTACCTGTGAAATAAGCATGTGAAATTGGTGAAGAATATTTTAGATGTAGATAATACCTGAAGGAAATTGTCTTTTCTCCTGGGTCATTATATCAAAGTCTTCATTATCACAGTAACAAAGACAAAACTTATTCTAAAAAATTATTTCTGAGAAAATGTTCCTAAGATATTCAGTATGACTCTAATGTGTAAATTATTAGGCAGTTTATTTTAAAAACTTAACATAGCCTTTTAACCTTTGTTTAGATTTCTCTGTATAAAATTTATATTACTGAGCTCTAAACATATTAGTGTGTTAGAGCTTTTACAAAGCACTAAATTATGTCATATACCAGAGATTTTTATCATGATTTTATTGAATAAACCTCAGAAACATTTTAAAGAACAATTAAAAATTAAGAAGACAAATAATTCTTGGAGTTATATCCTCTCTTCTCAGTTTGTGTCACCTTAGGTTGAGTGACAGCCCTCAAAATTACAGCATATGCTATTTTATTTATTTAAAGTGCATAGTGGAATTTCACTGAGAACACTAAAAATGACTTCAAGTTTAAATTCTTTGACATGAAAAACATATTTAAATATATAAAAGATGGCATCTTTGAAATAATGATGTGTAACTAAGATTAAAGCTGTGGGAAACTCCTTCCAGACAAATGCAAACAATAGTAAATTATTTGTTGAACATTTCCATTATTTTTCCTTTTTATTATTTTATGAAACAATATAGAAACTGATTTTATTGCTTTTGGGGACAAGAACAAATAAAAAATAACATGCCTAGTATAATGCTAAACCAACTTAGATAAATCTAATTTCTGAAGACATAGTCAGAAAAATTTAATATTTAGTTAAAATATATTTAATATATATTTACATATAAACATACACATTCTATTCTTGCAGATAATAAATATAAAAGTCATAATAAAGCTATGTTTTTCTTATTCCAAAGCCTGTGCTCATAACACTTTTATCATACTTCAAGAAATCATTCATTATCTATTATAAAAGACCATATTATAGGTAGATTAGGTAACTGGTTTAAGTATACTTGTTAACTTAAGAAAGTCTAATTTTTTTTTTAAATTGTACTATTTACAATGCAACAAAGCCATATTAATTTTAATAGCATGAGTTTAGAATTAACTGAGAAGTAGTAAACTTAATAATGACTATGTGAGAGTAAACTTATAGAGAAATAATTATGACTGCTTTCAAACTCATATTTTTATTTTTTATAGCTAGATATTAGGAACTGGGCCTTTTCAGATGGAAAATCTAACCTGGATCCTTAGCCTCTCAGTTCTAACTTTCTGAGCTTCAATTTACCTATTTATGAAATAAATATAACTATGTTTACTATGACTACTGTGATCCTAATGGTGAATAAATAACTCTCCAAGAGTCAATCAGGCTCTCAGAAGGTACATTTACTTTTTCAGGACAATACAGTGCTATGGATTAGTAATTTACTAATTGATGTACTGTGACCCAAGCATTTTATGACTCAACTAAAGTCAGGAAATTTCACCTAAGGAGATATTTATTGACAACATACTGATTATTTTAAATGGTCATTATTAGTTTGCTGATAATTAAATGTTTTACATCGAAATGATTATGAATAGGACTTGTAATATACTGCTTTTCATAGTAGAGACCTGTAGTATCACAAAGTGTATTTCTATCATGAGAAAAAGAATATCTATTGAATAATGTGTTTTTAATTTTTAAAAGGTAGCCAATTGTATTGCATGTGCTAAAATATTTATTAAATATAATAATTACTTGTCATATTTCTATAGAGAACTTTCTGCTTCAATCTCAACACTTAGTTTGTTCTCAAGGAGAAATTCCCAGTCTCCCTATGAAGGGCATATCAAAATCACACAGTAGGGGGGGTGGGGAAGGGGGAAGGAAAGGAGGTTTACAGTTTTGAGTACATGAAACACAGAGTTTCCCTTGCATTATTATTAATTAATTATTTCATTATTTTCCATATAAATAACAGTAAACCTACTTTCCTCCCATTCTGGCTTTTCCAACTGCACAAATACATTTACATGGATACAGCATATATACACTTGCACACACATTTTCTCCTCTCTGAGGTTATATACACTATCATAAGGAAGTGCGTTTGTCCATCCTTTAAAAACAATAATATAGCAAACCACTGTGTTTGGTATAAGTATGTGATAGTCCTTACTTATATTAGAGAAACTGTACTGAGGCAGAAAAAAAAAAAGCCAAGAATCACAGATCCAGTGGACGAAATTCGTGCACTGTGTGTGGAGGGATGGTCCCTCAGCCTGGCCTGCGCCCTCTCACAGTCTGGAAGTTCTACGATTAATTGCCCCAAAGAGCTAGGCCCTGACCACCCAGCCAGCGCTCCATGATTGATCGCATCGCAGAGGGAAGCATAGACTACCCACAACAGTGCCGCGGGCCCCATAGCCTAGGCCTCCCTCTTTGGGGTGATTGATCGCAGGGCTCTGCCATCAACTGCCCCAAACAGGTAGGCCCTGCCCACGTGGCCAGGCTCCGCAATGGATTGCCCCTGCAGAGGGAGGCCCGCCCACCCGCCACAGCCTGCAGGTTGGTGGCCTGGGCCTCTCTCTGCAAGGCGATCATGGGGCGATGACCAAGCCCCAAGCAATCTCATCAACCCGCCTTGGCTGGCCTTGCACCAGTGGGTGTCATAGCGTGGTCATACAAACGGTCAGTCATTCCTCTGTTTGGTTGTTCAGTCGATTTGCATATTACACTTGTATTATTATAGATATATGTATGTATGTCATTTCACTTGTCCAGTTTTATACAATCACTTTTCAAATCTCTACTCTTTTGAAACCTTTCATGTTTTCACTCCCTCCCGCCCCCATCTCTTGGAGGATGACCTCCACTGCTATTTTGTAGCAAACATAGAAGGTAGATTAAAATTCACATTTATTTTCACCTCTCAGCCTATATCCACACCCAGGCTCTACTTAGCTTATATTTACAAGAGAGGAGCTGTCCACTATCTGAGGCCAATCCCCTCTCTTTAAGATACTTTAATTCCTGCCTCATGTATTCACCATCACCCTATAAACTGTAGATTTCCTATGAAAAGATTATTGAACTCTTCTTGTTCATTAGAATAAAAACAAAAAGAGAAAAGCCTTTCCTTCTACTCCTTATGACCTCTGATTCTCATTATTATCTGTCCTCTCTTCTGTCATATTCAGTTTTCTTAAAGATTTGTCTGTGTTTCCACAGCTCTCAGTCACACTGGGAAAACTCTTTTGTGCCCATATTGTTGAGTACTTATTACTCAATGGACACAGCATGTCTTAATCTTCACATTGCTGAACCAAATGGACATAATTTAGTGCTCATCTGTTTAGGCTTCTTGACAACATTTGAGAGTGATGATTGCTCCTTCCATCATAAAGATTCTTTGTCTTGGATTCATGACATAATATAAGCCTCTTTCTCAGTTCCTTTTTCAAGCTTATGCTGATAATTCTCTGTCTTTTGGCCTATACTCTTTTCTCCTTCAAGATTCTCTGTTGAGATGATCCCATTCATGTCCATTATTTCCAAGGTTATAATTTACATATAGATTTATAAATTTTATTTTAAATTGAGTATTGGAGTCAAGACTTATTTATGCAACCACATACTTAACATTTCTACTAAATGTCTCAAAAATCTCAAATTTAACATGGCCAAGATCATATTCATTTTACTCATCTCTGACCAGTCCTCTCCCAGTGTCTCCTGCCTCAATGAATATATTTCTACTTAAGTCTTCAAACATAGTGGGCTCTTTACACTTGCCAGCGTTATGCACCTTATTTTGTCTGTCATTGCTTATTTTATTTCCTGGGAATCCTAATATCCTTTCACTTCTCCACTATTCACAGCTCTCTCATCATTGCTTTCCAGTCTTTCTATCAGTCTATATGAAATTAATCTTTCTTCTTCTCTATCTTTCTATAGAGAAAATCTGACCTGCCACAGTTGAAAGATTTCAGTAGACTTGCATTGCTAGTATGAAAAGATAAAAATCTTTAGCATAGTTTAGATATCTTTAGATAGACGGCCTGATAACAATCTTTCAAATACTTTCACATTGAACTATTTTTTCCCCAAAACTTTGTCTGGATGCATGGTCTCTGTATGTGCTGTTTCCATTGTCTGGATTGACTCTCCTAAAACTTCTCCAAGTAAACTCACTCTTATTCATTAATCCAGCTCAATTATTACTACCTCAGGGAAGCTATACATGACTCCCTTTGATAACAATAATAATTATTAAAAAAATAATTCTTGTTTACATTATCAGGAGTCTATATTTCTCACTTCTCCAATAGTTATGACAGTTATAATTATAAACATATTTGTATAAATTTTTGAATAATATTTGACTCTTCTACTATGTAACTGTAAATGTGGTGGTTATGATTTTGCTTTTTATAATTTGAAATATTCCTTGTATCTACCACACTTGTCCAGCTTAGACTTATAATTAATCAATATTTGCTTCCCATATGAATGAATAAACATGAACATTTACTACATATAATAAATATAATTCTTATATTTCCCTATTTTCTATATCTCTCTATTTTTTCAGAATTCCCAATAGACAGAAGTTTTTAAAGAATACAAAGAAAAGGATAAAATAAACATTTACAAACTTTTATGGCAGTAATAAGACATTTATATCTTAATGAATGATTATTTTAATAAAAAATTAAAATAAGTTTCTAGGTTC